CCGAGGAAGCTACGACCAAGGCGTCTTCTCCGACATAGAAGGCGAATTCTCAACTGATGAATCGCTCCCCCCTCGAATCTTCAATGTCCGACAAGCAACGCCACCTTATTTGGAAGCTACCAAGCCAGGCACGAAGCGGAGAGCGTCCTCTCCTCCCCGTGAGCCGATTGTTGGCGATAGACATGTTCTTAACGTGGCCACGAGTAACGGGGACCTCTCCCAGCGACGGACAAGTGGCCATCCTTTTGGCAACTCTCTATCGGTCAATGTTCCTTATGCGCCCAGTCACGGAAGCCTCTCAGCTGCTTCATCCTTGAGCCTACGAACCTCTGGGTCTTACTCCTCGACGGCCTTCTCTCTAGGGGGAAGCAGCATAACGAGCTATGATCGCTCACCCGGGGGTCTGTCGCCTAATTCCGACCTTGACACCTTCCATGATAAGTCGATTCTCAACCCTAGTTCTCCCGTGAATCTTCCGGGCCCGTCCATCTCGAGAAATCCCCCAAGTACCGGCACCTTGGAACCATCTAGCGTCGACACTGCTCGGAAAGTATCCATGCAAACGACACTTGCCCTGCCAAAGCCAGCAGGGCCGAAGATGGGCGGACTGTATATTTGCGATTGTTGTCCTAAGAAGCCCAAAAAGTTCGACAGTCCAGAGGAACTTCGGTAAGATTTATCTCGTTTTCTAGTCGCGGCTGGTTATTTTGTCTAACATCTTTCACAGTGCCCATGAGATGGAGAAGCAGTACTCATGCTTATACTGCAACAACCGCTTCAAGAACAAGAACGAGGCAGAGCGTCATCAGAATTCCCTCCACTTGCGGCGTCACTCTTGGTCTTGCGCAGCCCTTCCTGGATATCAAGCAGCGTTCCATCCCTCGTCTTCTTCAGCCCAAACGAGCTCTGGGCCTTCTCACGACATTTGCGGGTACTGTGGTGAAGAGTTCCCGAATTTCCCACAGCCAGACTGGGACCGCAGATTCGAGCATCTTACAGCAGTGCACAAGTTTGGAGAGTGCAACAATGCGAAGAAGTTCTATCGTGCCGACCATTTCCGACAGCATCTGAAACATAGCCATGCTGGTACGAGCGGGAAGTGGACCAACATATTGGAGAACGCTTGCATGAAGGAAGAAGCACCTCCCGAGCCCAAGAATGGCGGTGGCAACGGAAGTGGGACGCTTGCATCAAATAAGATCAACGAGGTCCTCAGTGGTTGCTGACAGCAAATGTGCCTCGTGGGGACTAATTATGCCCACGCCGGCCGATTGCTGAACAAGGCGAATGCTCTTAGCAAGAGTATGCTTCTTCTAACCTTCTCTCATATATATACACACATTTCTCCCTAACTATTTCATCACTGCGCCCGTGATCCAACCTGGCGTTCAACGGGGATTTTCCATTTGTGGTCCTGAATCTTTGACGCATTTAGCATATAACGGGGAATCTGGGTATCAAAATTTCACCGGAAAAAGGGGGGAATCTTTAAAACGGATCTCGGGGCACAGTGGTATTGATGTGACATGACGGAAACATCTTGCTTTATTCAAATCTGTTTCTTTGGCGATAACAAAACTCGGAGTCCTGGACGGATGATTCTTGGCGGGGCGGCTGATCGTGAGTTTGGGTTTGCATTAATGGCCTGCTTGATTTCTTGCTTCTTCCCTTTGTCACTTTTTCTTTTCTTCTTTTAACCTCACCCACACCTGCAAGCATTGTACGGCGATGGTGATTGGGCCAGCTGGGATTGCTTCGAATACGCGCCCGTCTACCTACCTGTCTTGTTGTCTTGGAATATGTATGTCCATGTTAGAACGTCTCTGAACCTAGCTAAGTGCTAGGTATATGTATATACCTAAGTAGAACTAAGAAAGAACTAAAATCCCATCTATGGACGGATAGACACTCCTCATCTACATACTGATTACTGACCCGAGTAATAGCCATTGAAGAAGACCTTTGCACCACGGGAAATTCATGTCAATAAGTAGTAGTAAATGAACTCTGAACCCTCTCATTCACTAAATCAAGTAAACAAGTAAAAATAATACATACATACAGTCAGTTACACACTCACTGACTGCCTGCCCACTAAAACGCCAGAGCAATGCATAGCCAAAACCCACAGAGTCTAGGTCGTAACTTTTCCAAGGGAAAGGGGAGGGGGCATTATGAAAGGAATACCAGCCGCAAGGAACAACAGCAACGATAACATCGAAAGGTAACGAGAATGAAGAAAGTGACAGTCAAAGCTAACTGACTTCATCCATTGTAGCACGTGATCGTGGCGCAATAGATGGATGGGGTCAGTTAGGTAGACCATACCATACAACAGGGAACAGATGTGACTCTGTTTGGAGTTGAATGGGTGATGTGATGTGATAAAAAATGGTTAATTAAACAAGCAAGGACACACTCCAACTCCCGAATCAGAACCCCCAAGCAATACATACACTACATGCTTGCGCCCACGCGCACTACCCTTAGATAAAGGGATCCTCTTCCACGACACCGGCGGCTTCCTTGGCCAGTCGTAAGTCCTTGGGTCCAAGACCGAGGTTCTTGAAGTAAGGACCGAAGGAGGATAGGAGGTCCTTGAGGGATGCTTTCATTGTGTCCAGGACGAGGTCGACGTCGGGGACACGGCGAGCCGCGGCTTGCGCTTCCGGGTTGCTGGATGGGGGGAAGTTGACGTCTGTCCAATGGGCGTCGAGGCCACCGTTGATAAAAGGTTCGAGGGTCGTGATGGTATCGGTTAGGAGGCGTACGACGGTGGCCACGTCGGCTTGGACCTTGCCGTATTGGTCCTCTGCGAGACTCTTGATGAGAAGGCAGGTGAGGGATTCGGTGGCGTCGATGACGGAGCAGATGGTTGCGTGGGGTGTGCCGAGGACAATGCCAGAGAGGCGACGAGCGTAGGTTTGACGGAAGAGTCGGCCTAATGGGGAGCGGAGGAGCTGAGCGAGGAAGGGGTGCAGGTTCTCGGGCTTGCTGGTTGATGGTGCGGTGAGCATCTTGAGCTCCTGGGAGGAACCGAGCAGCTTCTGCTTGCGTTCCGGGCTCAGCATGGCGGAGGAGGCGCGGTCCAAGACATCGCGGGCTCTGGCGCGTGCGGTAGGCGTCCAGTCTGGGGAGTTGCCGTAAGCTCTGGCGGTGGTGGTGAAGGCTTCGCCGATTTTCTGTTGGCGGGTTGATGCCTTGGGAGACGGAGCGAAGATGTTGTCCGCTTTAGGGGGGTCTGTCAACCGTGGCAGGGAGTGAAGAACGGGCTCTGACTGCTGGACTGGCGCGGGCTTAGGGCCGGATGATGGGTTCTTGGCCTCACTGATGCGGGTGGTAACGCCCGTGATCACATCTGTGGCGGCTTGCAAGATTTGCGACCAAGCTGCCCCCTCCTCGCGATCGATGTCGTTGAAGATGGCTTTCCGGCGATCAGGAAATCTCTGGCTGATGAAGTACAGCTCCCAAAATGCGAAGGCGCGAACAGTTTCCTTCTTTGCTTTTAGTCCATTCAGCAGGCTGCCGTTGGGATCCTTGGCTTCGGCCGTCAAGGGCTGGCCTCGCTTGAGTGGCTCTTTGCTGAGGAACACGGAGAAAAAGAGGTTGGCTGTCTGCCAGCAGAGAACTAGGAGGCCTCCTGAGATCAAAGTGCGCACGATAACTCCGAAGATTGGCGGGATAACGCCGGGAGGGCTTGCGGCAGATCTCGGGAAATCCCAGAAGAGCTTTGCAAAGAACAAAGTGGTGCGCCATGCCGGGCGTCGGAGGACGAATGCGTATGCGAACGGGCAAAGAATGGAAACCAGAATACTCCGTTTCAGCCCATCCTTGATGAGCTGCGGCAATGCTGACTGAAGGCGTTTAGAGATCGATAGCTCCAGCCGGCTATCTTCATCAGCGGAGCCAGCGACCCTCCTGGCAACGGGAAGAGGGACACGATCGTAGTCGTAGTAAAGATGCGCCACTGACTGCGAGACTGCCAGGAGAAAGTGATAGGTATAAAGGTAGATCGCTCTTTCATTCAAGCTTGCTCGTTCGTGAGGTCTACCATTACTAGTTAGGCAAATCCGAGACATTGCTTAAGCTCGTTGTCGCAGGAAACATACCTAGCTCTGTTCACCAACTCAAGGTGTGCAGTACTTGAAGAAGACCACCTGTAGATTTCACTAAACCACCAGGCGGAGAACAAGTACCACCCGAAAGTCTGTATAACGTCGAGGGGAACGAGGTACTTGAAGGTGCTAAAAGGGGAGGAGGTTGTCCTGGCACCGATGTGCATCTGACCAACACGGAGGACGAAGACGACGAGACTGCATAGGAAAAGAAGGACTGTGCGAATTCCACATCCTCCAATGGGGAACCAAGCCCATAAGACTATCGAGGTATCCAGGTGGTTAGCGATCACAACTTTTCAGACGTTACCCGGTGTTGGTGTAGACCTACAGGACGATTTATCTCCAATAGCGAATGCCACTACATAGCAGACCAAAAGCGCCAGTGCCGACGCATGAACGAACCGTCTGTGCAGCGCAGAGGTCAAGATGCGCCGATACGGGCGAGGCTGTGCTGCAGCCATGGTGCAAGGTGGAAGAGGGACTGTGAGATCTCTAGGGAGAGAAGAGACAAAACAATTTCACTGCATGATCAGGTGACAAAAACAATTGAAGTATCCGGTCGGCCTGTCAGGACGGAAAGCTCCGAAGGGGGGCAAGTGGAGCTTCGAGGAGTGTCGGCGTCGGATGCGACAATAAAGTGAAGCTTTTCGGGCAAAGCATCAAAACACGCACCAGCCACAAACGCCGTGTCATGTGACACCCCACCAGCCATCGATGGCGTCAGGTGAGTGGCTGCCTGCGAATCATGGCACCCACACAGCCAGGCAACCATTGACACCTGACAGCGATAACGTACTACTACTTTAGCAGGGAGACAGCCGGCCGGTTGCATCGGCCGAATGATCCCACCTTCATCCATCCACTGTCGCATCTCATTCCACCATGTCGTTTGATCGCTTGAACTCGCTAGAGGCGCAGCCTACAACTTTCCGTCGCTCCGACGATCCCCAATATCGCGATGACCCCGAATTCCATCGTTTGACCGAGGGTCTCTCCAACCAACTGTTTACCCTGACCTCCAACATCACTCGGTTGTCCGATCAGATTGCCCTTCTGGGAACGAGGCGAGACACCGAGCGTGTGCGCGAGAGAGTCCACAAGCTTCTGGAGGATACTCGGGCGGGATTCAGAGATGTCGCAGATGGGATCAAGAAGGTCCAAACATGGGAGGATGTCAGTGTATGTGACATCCAGATACATCACCCCAGTGCGCTGCGATCGGACAAGCAATGCTAACGTATTTCTCACCAGCCCTCCCAAAAATGGACTCAACAGAAGCTATCGTCCGAATTCAAAGCTACCTTGGAAGAGTTCCAGACCGTTCAGCGTCGTGCCTTGGAGAAGCAACGAGCGTCTGCAGCAGCAGCTCGGACTGCCGTAGACGAAGCGGAGCCTGGCTCCGGGGGTGATCACCAGCAGCAGCAACAGCAAGAGCAACTGTTGGAGGAACAGCCCCGCCTTGCAAACCAGGATGAAGTGGACTTCCAGGAGGCCCTCATTATCGAGCGCGAGGCTGAGATCCGCAACATTGAGCAGAGCGTTGGCGAACTCAATGAACTGTTCCGGGACGTGGCTCACATTGTTCATGAGCAAGGTGGACAGCTCGACATTATCAGTGAGAATGTCGAACGAGTCGGCGATGACACTCGTGGAGCAAACGTCGAGCTCCGTAGCGCCAGCCGATACCAGAAGAATGCGCGCAACAAGGCCTGCTGTCTGCTTGTCATTCTTGCTGTTATCCTTACCATCATCGTCCTGGCGGCAACCCTGGGATAGACTTGAGCGTTAATTCTGTATTCTCGCTTCCACACCCCGCAACCACGACACCGGATGTCGCGCATCATGACTGTCCCCTATCTTGATGATATCCTCTCGATGTACGTTTACGCATGTGCTTGTGCTTTTTTCGCTACTGCAGGCGGCTTGTTGTGTTCTGTTACGTCGATTGCTATGGGTTCTCAGGCGCATACGGAGCGAGGATGTTCTATTTACATTTGCCGTTTCTATCTTCCCATGCTCTATATCATACATAGCTTCTGTTATACACGAATTGTACACTGCGTTGCTTACCCAAAACCGTTCCCAAAACTCCGTTGTTCGCCTCTGATGCAGCGTAAGAAGAAAGACACTGGGGAGCTTTATAGTCCCATAAACTTGCTGAATCTCATGCGGCAGCCCTCCACTGTGTTCAGTTTCGGCCGGACATCCAGGTAGAAGCTGAGCTTGCCGGGTCCAGCATTGGCAGCCAGGCCGGGAGCATTGTTTGCACCCGACGATTTTCCTTGATAGAAATCGATGACATATTCAATCCTTTCACCACCGCATCTCTCAACAACCCAGTCGTGCCGATCAAAGGGAAGCTGGTAGCCCATCAGGTTATTAATACGGGCGCGGGGGCTCAGGAACTGCGGGTCGACACCCAAACCGCGGAAGGCATACAGCTTTGGGCCTCCACATTTTTTGCTACCGGGGTCCGACATGGGAGCCCGGCTTTCCCATTGCAAGATCTGCTGCCAGGCGCGCTCATTGACGGCGTTATGGATAGGAATGATGGAAGCGACGGTAGTCGCCAGTTCGGAGGCGGAGGTTGTAGAGCTAGGAGTGTTGCCCTTGCGCACAAGAGCTTCGAAGAATTGCCGTTCTGACGGATAGATCCAGTTTCCAGTGTTCGGGTCATGACCGGTTTCAGCTTCTGCATTGGATGGGGTGCCATGCGATGCGGCCGTGGCAGCGTAAGGTGACGCGGGCGCATTTGACGAGTCGGCACTCGACGGCTGGGAGGTAGTGTCAATGGCGCGCGGTATACTGCTCACTTCACGGTCGGTTGACAGAGGCCTCTGAGATTTGCCTTTCGATTCCTGTCCGTCTTCGGAGGGTAGAGGGTGAGGAGGTGCAGCGCCGCCAGATGCTTGGTGCTGCTGCAACCAGGCCTCGCGAGTTTTGTGATCAACAGGGCATACACCAGCCGCAGGCGGCTCGGGCGACGGAGTACTTGCACCGGCACCCATTGTTCTAGATGAGAATTGGGGTGGAGGGACAAACAGAAACTCGGCCGCGACACTTGGAGCGAGAGGAGTGGATGGGATAATGAGGTTTGATTGCAAATCTATTGGATCGGGCGGAAAGGCGGGCAAATTCTGGCCGCTCACCGCCTCGGAAACCCGACAACAAAAGCCCCAAACTTTCCCAACAAGGAAATCCCCCGCCTTTTCGTCGCTCGTCTTTAGCCTTCGCCCCTGAACGCTTCTCTCTATCTTTCTTCCTATTCATATCTTATCTCCAAGTCTCTTCAAGTGTATTTTGCTTGTTTTAATAGTCCTACAATGGCTGCTCCCGCTGACAGTCAGGTCTTCCGGGCCACCACCACCGCCCCTGTTAACATCGCCGTCATCAAGTATGCCTCCCACTCTGTATCCGATCATACGCACGTTTGGTGGAATCTAATTGTGCTTCAATAGGTACTGGGGCAAGCGCGATGCTGTTCTCAACCTTCCTACGAACTCTTCCCTCTCCGTCACCCTTTCGCAGCGTTCCCTCCGCACTCTCACCACCGCTTCCTGCGCTCCTTTTTACCCCGCTAAGGACGAGCTCACCCTGAACGGCAAGCCCCAAGACATCCAATCCTCCAAGCGTACACTTGCTTGTCTGGCCAGCCTTCGCGCTCACCGTCGTGAGCTCGAGGATGCAAACCCCTCGTTGCCCAAGCTGTCCACCTTCCCCCTCCGCATTGTCTCCGAGAACAACTTCCCCACCGCCGCCGGTCTCGCCAGTTCGGCTGCCGGCTTTGCGGCCCTTGTTCGCGCCGTGGCAGACCTTTACCAGCTGCCCCAGTCGCCCCGTGATCTGAGCCGCATCGCTCGTCAGGGCTCTGGCTCTGCCTGCCGTTCTCTGATGGGTGGTTATGTCGCCTGGCGCGCTGGATCCCTGGAGGATGGAAGCGATAGTTTGGCAGAGGAGGTTGCGCCGCAGTCTCACTGGCCTGAAATGCGTGCCCTCATCCTGGTTGTCAGTGCCGCAAAGAAGGATGTTCCCAGCACTGAGGGTATGCAGACGACCGTCGCTACTTCGAACCTCTTTGCTACCCGGGCGAACACTGTTGTTCCGGAGCGGATGGCTGCCATCGAGACCGCCATTCAGAACCGTGACTTCCCCGCCTTCGCAGAGATCACGATGCGCGACTCCAACGGCTTCCACGCCACTTGCCTGGACTCATGGCCTCCGATCTTCTACATGAACGACGTTTCTCGCGCTGCCGTCAGACTTGTCCATGACATCAACCGCGCCGTCGGCCGGACCGTCTGCGCCTACACCTACGATGCGGGCCCGAACGCTGTCATCTACTACCTTGAGAAGGATACCGAGCTTGTTGCTGGTACCGTCAAGGCTATCCTTGGTGAGAAGGCGGAGGGCTGGGAAGGTCCCTTCTACACGCCTCTGAAGGACGTTACCACCCCCGGCGTGTCCCTGGATGAGGTGGACCCCCGCACCGTGGAATCGCTCCAGGATGGTGTGAGCCGTGTGATCCTGACCGGTGTTGGCGAGGGTCCTATCTCGGTGGATCAGCATCTTGTCAGTGAGAAGGGCGACATCCTTTCTGCCTAGAGGCTTCATCGCATTCTGGGAGAATTGAAACACCAGCAACTAAACGAAGAGAGGGTCCCCGCACATCGGAAACCCTCAAGATACCCATATGCTTTGCATTTGTTGCGCAACTTCCCAGACTATCACCCCTTCTAGCACCGCGGACGATAAGAGGTCATCATCGCTCTATATAATATAGATATTCTTTTTCGGGCCACTTCAACATTACTTTTTGCATACCCATTTAATAATATAACCCAAAACACATGACGGATTTCATGAATTTTTATAATGATCTATGTATGACTTTTTGGTGAAACCTAAGAACAACAACGTTATGAGATGCAATAATACCTAGAGAGAACCCCCTTAGTTCAACAAAGCCGACAACTTAATCTCCTTAACCGCCGGCACCTCCCTCCCCTTCCCAACATTTGCCGTAGCGGTAACACTATCCCAGAACACACTCTGTCCTCCAGTAGCATGAGGCACTCCGTCCTCCCCGAATGCAGCTCCAGCTCCATTCTCTCCCTCTCCAGCATCACCAGCACCTTCCCCATCGGCACCACCCACAGCCTCAGCAACCAAAGCCCCAAACACCTCCTCCCGACTCTCCTTACACAGCTTCAAGACCTCATTCATCGCCTTCTCCACCGCCACCGCCCGCTCCCTCATACCCCTCCTCAACAACGCATCAACCAGCGCCTCAACCTCACTCACCGTCGAATTTGCCCTCTCCAACAGTCGTCTCACACTATTAACCAGATACTCCTCCTCATACACAGTCCCCTTCTTACCACGCGCACGCTTCCTCTCCTCCTTCCTCCGCGTCTTCGACGTGTGGCGCGACGAGCTCGTCTTCCCTGTCTTCCCCGTGTTACCCGTATACCGCGTGAACATGGACCGGCCCGCCAATGTCGAAGCGTCAGTAGGCGCCAACGACACATTGTCGGGGATATCCACCCCCGCGGCACCGTCGCCCAGAGTAGGGTCGCCGCCGAAGTAGGCCAGCGGGTCAGTGGCGCGGCGGATGCGCAGTTCGCGGATCCGGGGCACTTGGGCGTTGAGTTGCGAGCGGAAGTCCGCGAGCAGGTCGGTCATGTTGCCCATTGAGTCGGCGAGACCGCTGTCGACTATCTCGGGGATCAGGGCCGATTGGTTGTGCAGGGTGAGGAGACGTGTTGCTTCGGAGAACTTGGAAGCTCGGCAGAGGAGACGCGATGCTGCGGGGATGTCGTGCAGGTGGTCTGCGTGGATGGTTGCCGCTGAGGTGTAGTCTTTGGATTCTTCGACTAGGGTGCTTATCAGGGCCGTGGCGTGCGCGCTTAGCTCCGTGGATGTGAGGGGCACGAGCATTGCGCAGTAGAGGGATTCGCGCCAGAGGTGGGCGAGGTGGTAGCTCTTGTAGGCGTCGGTGTAGAGTTCGAGGGATTCGTAGGCTGTATGGGAGGAGGAGAAGGTTAGTTTGGCGGGTGAGGATTGGGGGTAGGGAATGGTTGTTGGGTACGTACCGATGCCTGCTTCCTTGTACTTGGACCGGTCGAAGAGGTAGTCGGCATAGAGGTGGGTCATCTCGCGCAGTTGCTCAGCCTGGTACTTGTAGAGGTCGATGGCGTCTTTGTAAAGGACGTGCTTGATTGTGTAGGCGCGAAGTTCATCGTGGGCGTTCAGAGCGTGCAGATGCTTGATCGCCTTGGATGTCCGGCCCAGGTAGTTGTCGATCTCGAAGTAGCGGCGAAGTTCGGGTTGCTGCTGCAGCTTGCGCAGGAATGGTAGGTACTCGCGGGGATCCTGGTGCAGTTGGTTAGTATGCTGTGAGGGGTGGGATACAGATGCTTGCTTACCCGTTGGGCTTGCTGGGCGACAAGCAGTGTGAGCTCCAGGTCGTAGAGCCCCAGCGCGTTATCGTACAACTGGTTAGCATCCGTCAAGAAGCACATGTGCTCGATTGCGTCGTCTGCCTGTTCGGGCGATTGTTCTGTAGGAGAGGTAAGTATTGAGGAGGAAAATCGGGAGTCTGGAGTACGAACCCCTCAAGCGTGCAACCAACTGCAGACCGGACTCGAGATCTGGTGGCGACTTGCAGACATGCGCAGTGATCAGGTTGTGCAGGTTGGTGTCAATGCGCTTCTCCAAAGTAGACAAGAAGGCGTCGCAGATTTTGTTGACTTTGCTGCCCTTGTTTGGTGCTGCTGCAACAATTCCGGCCGGCGCGTTGTCTGCCTTGGGCGTTTTCAGGGTGTCTTTGTAGAGAGTCTGGGAAACATCTTCCTCACTGGAAAGTAATCAGCCAGTATGCCTTGAAGGACAAGGTGTTTTGCATACCTAAGACGGGAGATAAACTCATCAATGAAATCAATCTTCTTTACTTGATCCACAAACAATTGGATGTTATCCATAAACTGCTCCGGAGCATAGTCGTGAATGATATTCATATCCACCATCTGACTACGGCAGGTCAAGAATGCAGCCCGATAGTTCTTGCGGTCAATGAAGTTTCTGATACCGGCCAGAACGAGAGCCCTGGGATAGATGGTTTCGAGGTTTCCACGGGGCATCTGCAGGATAACAGCAAAGGTTGTGGGCATCACAGTCACTAGACGTCCGCCACGTTCAATGCTTCTGCATCGTTCATCTGTTTCAGGGGTGTCCGGAGGAATGTCCATATCTAAAAAAAAATAGATTAGCTGATGTTAATATGGCTGGTAGATTGTCGATATTCTCACCTTCCACTGTAGTCAAGTGCACAAATTTGATCAGGTGAAGGGAAGTTGTAAACAGGATATGGGCCTGAGTTACAAGGAAGGAAGTGCAATTCTTCGCAAGGAGCCGCTTGTTGGCATACAGGGCCCCGGACCTGGTCATGGAGACCAGAACGTGCTTCAAGAAGTTAGCTATGAAAGTATTCTAAGTCCTGAGAAGGGCTTACCTCGTCCTCAGAAATCTGTGCAGCCTTAGCCCAGTATGTATCAACTGTTGGGCTTGCAAGCCAAGGTAGAATCTGGAACTCCTCGGAGGAAGGCATGGAGACATAGGAGTAGGTGACCGGCTGGTTAGGCGCCTTAACGTGAGAGAACCACAGGGCTTCGTGTCCGAGGGAGGTGAACATTGAGAGTATTTGCTCGGAGTCCGCTGCCTGATAAGCAACCTGAGTCGTGCGTGTCTCCAAAGCAGTGCGTTCAATTTGAGTGTTGTTAGGGCCATCATCCTTGAGAATGTAAACTTCATGTTCGTTTACAAAGGCAATCTGTCGAGGCCGGCTATCAGGCGCATCCGACAACGGATAACTCGACTCGAGGATTGGGGACGGAACAGGTCTCGTTTTAAGAGACCAGAGGAAGATAGAAAACCGATCCTTCATAAGAACAGCCATCCGCGTTCCCGACTTGCTGAATGCCACATCAACAATGTTCGAGTCTAGTGTCAGCTCATTGTGAGCCATAGGAGGAGGAACTCCCGCCAGCCTCAGAGGAGTCAATTTGAGGATTTCTTTCGCCCGTCAGAATACATTCGATCAATCATGTATGGTGGAGGGACTTACTGCCGTCGATAACAGCAACTGCACCAACATCATCGGGGCTGGTAGTGGATCCCTGGGATACGTCGAAAACGAAGTCCACATCCAACATCGATCCTGTAACAGATTAGAGAATTTACCATAGAAGATATTGCAACTTAAAAATTACCTGAAGCCCCAGCAATAAATCGTAGAGCTTTCTCCTGATGCCATTTCAAGGAGAACGGATACGGATATTCGGCGTTCACTCCAATTGGAATCTCTTGCTTGAGGTAGTAGTGGTAGTTGCCGGTTGTCCAGAACTGAATTCTGTCGTGGAATTGCACCGCAAGCACCGTTGAGTCGACGTTCCAGCTCAGATGAATATTCGAAGCCCATGTCGACCGTTCTTCCTCCGTCAGGCGAAGAGTAAATTCTCCATGGCGCAAGCCGTTCCTTTCAAAGAAGACCACGTCAATTCTATCTTCGCGGCGCTGGATACCGGCGATAAGGTTGCCAGAAGGCCTCCAGCTGAGGGCACCTTCCAGTCCATCCACTGGCTCACTGATGCTATCCAAGGTTCCCTCTCTCGAGTAAACCCGAATCGCACGTCGAACGCCAGCTTCGATGCTGTTCACGGCGACGTAAGCACCATCACCACGCCAGCTAATGGTCGTCTTTCCATCATCACTGGCGCTCAACTTACCCTCGTCCACCTTCTCGGGGACAGTAGGATCACGAAGAGCCTTAGCACGCTTACCCTGGAACTGGGTCTCGCGCTTTCCCCAGCCCACAGAGACATGCTGGGAGGCGCGGAGGTCCTCCTGCGTGAAAGTAATTTCGGCAACGTTTTCGAATTCTCTCGTCATGTAAAGGAAAGTATTGGCTCTCGTAGTCAAGGCCAGGAGCTCCTCATCGGGGGACCATGCAGCAGCTGTGATACCAACATCAACAGTACCCACAATCTCAATCTTGTCCTCGCCGGGAAGGGGTTCTTCACGGACAATGACGATGTCACCTCCTTCCAGCACCAGACAGGCAGTGAGATTGTCAGCAAAGTAGTGCAGGGAGAGCACCCGGTCGCACTCCAGATCTGGCAGTGGGCATGGCGCATCCCAGGATGCGATGATTTCAAATGCATCCGCCCCTACGGGGTCCGAAAAATAGGCGTCATGACGCTTTCTGCGGAGCTCTATGACTGGCTGGGACGCAGAAGGTCCAAATGTGCAAACGACAGCATCTGAAGCTGTATCCCAAGCTGTTGCTGTCAAAGGAAGCTCATTCTGGAGCTGCACCTCGGCGAGGCGCACGATTTTGAGGTTGCGCATCTTTTGAAGAGTAGTGTTCTACCCCGCCGCCATGAATCGACGGAAGCTTCACTGGGGAAAAAGAATGAACGGGGAAAAGGAAAAATGCAAAAATAATATCTAGAGGAAATTTACTCTCATAGAGTTAATTATTAGATTTTGCAAGCGTAGGTTTTATTTTCCTTCACGCGCGTCGCCCACGGAATTGCGAACAATAT